ACTCACTCACTCACTCACTCACTCACTCACTCACTCACTCACTCAGGGGGAGGTTAGGTAGCCAAGTGGTTACAGTGTTGCCTGTCATGTCAAAGGTCCACTCACTCACTCACTCACTCACTCACTCACTCACTCACTCACTCAGGGGGAGGTTAGGTAGCCAAGTGGTTACAGTGTTGCCCGTCATGTCAAAGGTCCACTCTCTCACTCACTCACTCACTCACTCACCAAGGTCCAGGTTCTATGCCCTGCATGAGTACACTGTGTGAAACCCTTGTCTCCAGACATGGTACAGGTGACGAATTGCTAAAGCTGCTTGCATGCCCTGGCAGGCAGAATAAAGCACCTGTAGGATATCCTTTCAGTGGGATGATCAGTTTTCTTTGCATTACAATCATTTGAATTATTGATGGGTCGGGGGCTCCTTGTTTGAGTGTCATGTATAATCCTAATATACTCATTGGCAGTGTCTCCTGTGTACTGGTAGTGTCTCTCCCAGCCCCTCACAACATTGCCAGGACAGAACAATGAATCATTTGTGGGATTTGTTGACATTGTAATGATATCTCATAAAATATTGAATAGCCTTGGTCAGCAGCTATCCTGCATAATCCATTAGCATCCCTCTCAGCCGAGGCTGGCGTGAGACTGTGCATGTTATTGTCTGGGTCCTGGGTCCTGGGGCCACTGACTGACCAGATGATGTGTCGTGGTGGCTAGACCTGACTGTCACCTGTTCATATTAACTATCTCACACTCTATCACATGCTCACACTCTCACATATTCACTCTTGCACACTCACTCACTTACTCACACTTACCCTCTCACATACTTCTACTTGCCAACTCACTCACATACTTCTACTTGCCAACTCACTCACATACTTCTACTTGCCAACTCACTCACATACTCACACTTACCCTCTCACACTCACATACTCACACTCACCCACTCACATACTTCTACTTGCCAACTCACTCACATACTCACACTCACCCACTCACTCACATACTCACACTCACACTCACATACTCACACTCACCCACTCACATACTTCTACTTGCCAACTCACTCACATACTCACACTCACCCACTCACTCACATACTCACACTCACCCACTCACTCACATACTCACACTCAACCACTCACTCACATACTCACACTCAACCACTCACTCACATACTCACACTCAACCACTCACTCACATACTCACACTCAACCACTCACTCACATACTCACACTCAACCACTCACTCACATACTCACACTCAACCTCTCAGACTCACATACTCACACTCAACCACTCACTCACATACTCACACTCAACCACTCACTCACATACTCACACTCAACCACTCACTCACATACTCACACTCACCCTCTCAGACTCACATACTCACACTCAACCACTCACTCACATACTCACACTCACCCTCTCAGACTCACATACTCACACTCAACCACTCACTCACATACCCTCATCCACCCACTCACTCACTTGCTGTGTGAAGCCATTTCTAGTGTTGCTGACACACATCCTGACTCAGGTACAGCCATGTGCTCCCATGACAAAGTCCTCTGACGGCCATTGTTGGTGTCCCTGCTGTAGTATGTCTGGGATGTTGCTGAGTAGTGTACACCGCCACTGTCACCCATGAGGTGTATGGTGTTCCAGAACGCTGGCACATTACTGTATTTCCTCTTCCGCCCTTTTTAGGTTAGTATTAGTGGTTACACCTTTGGCTTGGTATGCTGAAAACCAGGGTTTTATTCCCATATGGGTACAATGTGTGAAACCGTTCTAGCATCCCTTGCACCATGATATGGCCTGAATATTGCTGAAAATGGACTCGAACCGCACCCATCCACTCACTCACCCATCATCTCTCACTAACAGACCAGTTATCGCAAGTGGGGCTTGCTGTGTCCCCCACAGCATGCCAGAGGTACCTGTAAGGAACATTGCTACAGATTGTACCTGATGACTGAAAGTAAACCCACTGCCCCCAAACCATGTCTCCCCTTGGCCTCTGGGGTCCAGCCTGTCCGCTGCTGAGGTAATCCTGTGTGTAGGTGGCACTGTCAATGTTGTCAAGGGATGTTCATGGATCAGGTTGCGCGCTAACGTAACATTTGTCAATGAGTTTCTGCTGACAGAAGCATTACGGCTTGTCATGGAGGACGTGATGTCTACATGGCCAACCTTCAGCAGTACAAACCCAGCTGCCTGGCTTCACCAGATTAAACAGGGGATACAGCCGGGATGCATGCTCACACCGCTTTATGTTGAATGAGACAACTGTAATTAAATTCTTTACATGCCTCCAATGTGAGAGAGTCTACTTTTGAGTGAACTATGCTGTGTCTTTCCTCGTTTGCCATAACATTTTGAGGACGTAAATATAAATTAAATTTGATTTAGGGTCCTTGTTATTTTTTGTGGGGGAATGGCTACCTGAAGTTTGTATCATTTTTTTATGAATTTATCTTCATATGTTGTAGTTTCTTCTCGACAAAACCCTGTAATGGAGTCCCTCATCTACACACAGACATCCAACCCCACTCCCTCTGTCCCCACCCCCTCTGTGTCCGCAACCCTGTTATGGAATCCCTCATCTCTACACAGACATCTGTCCCCACCCCCTCTGTGTCCTCAACCTCTGTAATGGTGTCCCTCATCTGTACACAGACATCTGTCCCCACCCCCTCTGTGTCCTCAACCCTGTAATGGAGTCCCTCATCTGTACACAGACATCTGTCCCAACCCCCTCTGTGTCCTCAACCCTGTAATGGAGTCCCTCATCCACACACACATACGTTTCCACCCCGCTCTCATCAGACCCACTCAAGTCTGCTAATGTCTACAGATCTATCCTCTCGTGTTTTCAACCAGGATATAAACATCACTTCCTTGGGTGCTGTGTGATCTGTCTTATACTTCCTGTAAGCAAGGATCTATTGTGGTTGCAGTGCATCGAGTTACCAATAGATCAATAGACATCTATTCTCATTGTATTCTGTAACATCATTGATCTATTGTCATGGAACGTGCCTCCGTATCATCAATGCCTTCCTCATTCTGTAGGGAATAAAGAGCAACCTGGCTGGAACTAGAAATTCCATATTATCAACACAGTTGCAGTTATTTTTCAAAAAGATCAGTTTTGTCCTTGCTAAATTTGTGTTGGTTCTTGTGTTGGTTGTGGTATATGTTAACTTGTGCTGGTTCTTCCAGACCTGGTTGTGATACATGTAGACTTGTGCTGGTTCTTCCTGAGTTGGTTGTTGTACATGTTGACTTGTGCTGGTTCTTCCAGACCTGGTTGTGATACATGTAAACTTGTGCTGGTTCTTCCTGAGTTGGTTGTAGTACATGTTGACTTGTGCTGGTTCTTCCAGACCTGGTTGTGATACATGTAAACTTGTGCTGGTTCTTCCAGACCTGGTTGTGATACATGTAGACTTGTGTTGGTTCTTCCAGAGTTGGTTGTGATACATGTAGACTTGTGCTGGTTCTTCCTGAGTTGGTTGTAGTACATGTTGACTTGTGCTGGTTCTTCCAGACCTGGTTGTGATACATGTTGACTTGTGCTGGTTCTTCCAGACCTGGTTGTGATACATGTTGACTTGTGCTGGTTCTTCCAGACCTGGTTGTGATACATGTAGACTTGTGTTGGTTCTTCCAGAGTTGGTTGTGATACATGTAGACTTGTGCTGGTTCTTCCAGAGTTGGTTGTAGTACATGTTGACTTGTGCTGGTTCTTCCAGACCTGGTTGTGATACATGTTGACTTGTGCTGGTTCTTCCAGACCTGGTTGTGATACATGTAGACTTGTGTTAGTTCTTCCTGAGTTGGTTGTGATACATGTAGACTTGTGCTGGTTCTTCCAGAGTTGGTTGTGATACATGTTGACTTGTGCTGGTTCTTCCAGAGTTGGTTGTGATACATGTAGACTTGTGTTAGTTCTTCCTGAGTTGGTTGTGATACATGTTGACTTGTGCTGGTTCTTCCAGAGTTTGTTGTGATACTTGGCTCCTTCTGAGGTCAATAATGGAAGATTTGTTTTGGCCCCTTCTGAGATCAATGACGGAAGATTTGTGTTGGCCCCTTCTGAGGTCAGTGATGGAAGATTTGTGTTGGCCCCTTCTGAGGTCAGTGATGGAAGATTTGTGTTGGCCCCTTCTGAGGTCAGTGATGGAAGATTTATGTTGGCCCCTTCTGAGATCAATGACGGAAGATTTGTGTTGGCCCCTTCTGAGGTCAGTGATGGAAGATTTGTGTTGGCCCCTTCTGAGATAAATGACGGAAGATTTATGTTGGCCCCTTCTGAGGTCAGTGATGGAAGATTGGTGTTGGCCCCTTCTGAGGTCATTGATGGAAGATTTGTGTTGGCCCCTTCTGAGGTCAGTGATGGAAGATTTGTGTTGGCCCCTTCTGAGGTCAGTGATGGAAGATTTGTGTTGGCCCCTTCTGAGGTCAGTGATGGAAGATTTGTGTTGGCCCCTTCTGAGATCAGTGATGGAAGATTTGTGTTGGCCCCTTCTGAGGTCAGTGATGGAAGATTTGTGTTGGCCCCTTCTGAGGTCAGTGATGGAAGATTTGTGTTGGCCCCTTCTGAGGTCAGTGATGGAAGATTTGTGTTGGCCCCTTCTGAGGTCAGTGATGGAAGATTTGTGTTGGCCCCTTCTGAGATCAATAATGGAAGATTTGTGTTGATCGCTTGTGTCAATTCCTCTTGAGTCCTGTATGGTGCATGTATATGATTTAATTATGTTGGTCTGTTGGATGAATGGTGATATGATCCATGATGTGCGGTGTCAGTTCCCCTGGGAGAAACCATGGTGTGTTTAGACCTGTGTTAGTTCACTTGGGTCATGTAGTGATAGTATAATCCTTGGGTAGATTCCCTTGGGGTCCGTAGTGGTGTTAATGAGTAGTTTATTTACACCTCTCTCGTGTTGCCTATATACAGCTAATATTGAATAATTGATGTTTCAGGAGCGGATTTGCCCTGGACAGCCCGGTCCACCAAGCTCGCAAGCTGGTGAGGGAGCTCGATCACCTTAAACAACACATCAATGATGTTGTTACGGTTAGTTTTGGGACTAAATTTCAACATCATTGAACCCGTGAAGATCCGGGGTAGAATAGGTCTTCAGCAACCCATGCTTGCCGTAAAAGGCGACTATTCTTGTCGTAAAAGGCGACTAAAGGAGCAGGTGGTCAGGCTCGCTGACTTGCTTGATGCATGTCAACGATCCCAACTGAGTGGATCGATGTTCATGATGTAAATCACTGGATTATCTGGTCCAGACTTGATTATTTACAGACTGCCGTCATATAGCTGGAATATTGCTGAGTGCAGCGTAAAATAACAAACCAAACCAAATCATTCCTGCAGTAAATGGATGAATGAACTGTTTATGAGCTGTTCTAAATATGAGTTGATTCTGTCTTGTCATTAGATACATGTCCATCTCATACTCTTATTTGACCCGTGAAGATCTGGGGTAGAATAGGCCTTAGGAACCCATGCTTGCTGTAAAAGGCGACTATGCTTGTTGTAAGAGGTGACTAACACGATCGGGTGGTCAGACTCGCTGACTTGGTTGATGCATGTCATCGTATCCCAATTGCGTGGATCGATGCTCATGATGTCAGTCACTGGATTGTCTGGTCCATACTCAGTTATTTACAGTCTGCTGTCATATAGCCGGAATATTGCTGAGTGAGGCGTTAAACAACAAACAAATACTCTTATTCATCAAAGTGGTAAACGTCTGAGACCTTCATCACTTCGGCTTTCCTCCCACATCAAGCTGACATGCCGTGATATAACTGGAATACTGTTCAAAGCAACGTTAAAGCAAGCTCACTCCCACTCCTTAATACCTAAGGGACCCACCAATGACCAGTTTGGCCTTCTGTTGTTTCTTCTCAGAACATCCAGCATTTCCTCTTGTTTCCAGTAGAACCTGAGGACAAATTGTTATTTTCCATTTTCTTCCTGAAGAGATTTAAATCTTCCAGCTTGGAGACAATGTATTTGCCACTAATTTCATTATATAGGTCTGGTGGTCAGTATTGGACTGTAGATCCAAGCTTGATGTTAGTAGGTGTACATGCACATGGGAAAGATGATGATGATGATGATGAAAATCATCCAAGTCACCTGATGAACAATGATGAAATAAGTGAATTTTTAATGTTAATTTTTCTGATTAACTGATGCATGGCATTCCTTGTAATTGATCTTATGAATAGTTTGATTTTGATAACTGAGAAATGCGTGAAAATGAGAAAAATGCAATGTATATTATAATACTGCAACTTTCTGTTTGTTGCAGGTGCCAGTAGAACAGCCTCACACTCTGGGGTCATATCATAGTAAGGTAAGGTTGTAGAGGTTAACGAGCTACAGGTGTACATTGCACAGGTGTATGTGAGACAGATGTATGTGAGACAGATGTATGTGAGTCAGGTGTATGTGAGACAGATGTATGTGAGACAGATGTATGTGAGACAGATGTATTTGAGACAGATGTATGTGAGTCAGGTGTATGTGAGACAGATGTATGTGAGACAGATGTATGTAAGACAGATGTATGTGAGCCGGGTGTATGTGAGACAGATGTATGTGAGACAGATGTATGTGAGTCAGGTGTATGTGACACAGGTGTATGTGAGACAGATGTATGTGAGACAGATGTATGCAAGACAGATGTATGTGAGTCAGGTGTATGTGAGACAGATGTATGTGAGACAGATGTATGTGAGTCAGGTGTATGTGAGACAGATGTATGTGAGTCAGGTGTATGTGACACAGATGTATGTGAGACAGATGTATGTGACACAGATGTATGTGAGACAGGTGTATGTGAGACAGATGTATGTGAGACAGATGTATGTGAGACAGATGTATGTGAGTCAGGTGTATGTGAGACAGATGTATGTGAGTCAGGTGTATGTGAGACAGATGTATGTGAGTCAGGTGTATGTGAGACAGATGTATGTGAGACAGATGTATGTGAGTCAGGTGTATGTGACACAGGTGTATGTGAGACAGATGTATGTGAGACAGATGTATGTGAGTCAGGTGTATGTGACACAGGTGTATGTGAGACAGATGTATGTGAGACAGATGTATGCAAGACAGATGTATGTGAGTCAGGTGTATGTGAGACAGATGTATGCAAGACAGATGTATGTGAGTCAGGTGTATGTGAGACAGATGTATGTGAGTCAGGTGTATGTGAGACAGATGTATGTGAGTCAGGTGTATGTGAGACAGATGTATGTGAGACAAATGTATGTGAGACAGATGTATGTGAGACAGATGTATGTGAGACAGATGTATGTGAGACAAATGTATGTGAGACAGGTGTATGTGACACAGGTGTATGTGACACAGATGTATGTGAGTCAGATGTATGTGAGACAGGTGTATGTGAGACAGATGTATGTGAGACAGATGTATGTGAGACAGATGTATGTGAGACAGATGTATGTGACACAGATGTATGTGAGTCAGGTGTATGTGAGACAGATGTATGTGAGACAGATGTATGTGAGACAGATGTATGTGACACAGGTGTATGTGACACAGATGTATGTGAGTCAGATGTATGTGAGTCAGATGTATGTGAGACAGGTGTATGTGACACAGGTGTATGTGACACAGATGTATGTGAGTCAGATGTATGTGAGACAGGTGTATGTGACACAGATGTATGTGAGTCAGGTGTATGTGAGACAGGTGTATGTGAGACAGATGTATGTGAGTCAGGTGTATGTGAGACAGGTGTATGTGAGACAGATGTATGTGAGACAGATGTATGTGACACAGATGTATGTGAGTCAGGTGTATGTGACACAGGTGTATGTGAGACAGGTGTATGTGACACAGGTGTATGTGAGACAGGTGTATGTGAGACAGGTGTATGTGAGACAGGTGTATGTGAGTCAGATGTATGTGAGTCAGGTGTATGTGACACAGGTGTATGTGAGACAGATGTATGTGACACAGGTGTAAGTGACACAGGTGTATGTGAGACAGATGTATATAACACCAATGAACAGCACAGGTGACAAAGGTGCATCCAGATATGTTGATTGGGTGTCCCCAAAATACTGATATGTCATGTAACTTAGAGATATGTCGTGAAAATGACACCTGACACCTACACCTGACACCCACACCTGATGTGTGGGACAGACTCCACCTGTGGTCATGCCATATTTCATGCTCTTTTAACAACAAGGAAATATTACTTGTGAACTTTCGCAGTAGCCAAGACAACCACAGTATCGTATCTGATTGTAAGGTCAAAGTTGAAACATGTGACATTAAAGTATGTGATATGTAATCAAAGCTTATTGGCAAAATCCTAGCATTTGGTTTTGTGAAAGAAAGGCGGTAGCCATGCCAGTTTTAATTATGTACAGCATTATGATTGGGTCTACTATATTTATTGCAAAATTAATTGGTTTCAAGTGAGCAAATTCCTACTGGATTTATATATAACTTTTTTTAGAGAGCGTAATTGAGGAAAATGAACCTTTCCACGTTATTTTGAACAGATAATTCCAAAATATTATTCTAGGTTTGAATTATTAGAAAAAATAAAAATACGTTATCATAATGCATATTTTCTTTTTGTGTGTAGAGTTTCCAGCGAGACATCTCCCCTCCCCCCAGCAGACTGGGCCCCTCGCCGCTCGACCCCTACCTGGTAACTATGTAGACTCGTCTCCTGTAGTGGCGCAGGCAGTAAGGGGAACATAATGGATGGGAGACGTAGCATTAAACCAGTTTACAGCAGCTTTGTGGTGATGTCAGCGGTGACCAGACACAACATTTACTTCACACTGTGTTGGTGACAGATTACAGGGTTGCCTCTAGTTGGGTTCAGCTTTAACGGTGACTTGGCTGGGAACAAAAGGCTGTCCTAGTTGGGTTCCTGTCATAAGACATTGCTTGCCTGCAAGTTGGATCATCTTTTGTGTGTCAATTTGGGAGTTAATGATTTCCCGAAATACAAAGCCTTAGTTTCCCCGTGCACTACTTTCATCTAAACCAGGACCGAACATGTTCATCAGACTGGCAGTGTAAACATGAAACTTTTATCATATATATAAACATTTTGTAGTGATGGATGTGTAATTTAGAAAAACTGTTTAGATGTTGACACATTTGGAGAGTGTTTATATGAAACTGTTTGATAGATACTCAAGGACAGATTGGAGCACACTTCCACCTCTTGGAGTTCTTATCACAAATTTATAGAATATACAAAATTCAGGATGTGCTTATTTATAGCAAGATTGCTCGCTCACCTTAACAAGTCAGTGTAAGCTTATGTCATAGGTCTAAGCCCGTCATCCATCTGTCTGTCCTAAAACTGGTTAGAAACACTTGCAACTAACCATCAAACTAGTGGAGGTTTTGGGAGCACCTTTGCTGACTTTGAAGGTCAAGGTTATTCTTTCTGAAAGAGGTATAAAGATAGATTTATATGAAAATGATAACTTGAGACTATTTGAATATTTTAGTATTTATGCAAAATTGACCTTATGAATATATTGTTGTTGACTTGTCCAAAGTCAAGGGCACCAGAATTTAAAATGACAAGATTCAGAACAAATGTTTGTGATATGAGCAAAGTTTTTTGAATGCATCACTTTTGGAATATTTAAACATCTGTGTGTACAGCTTCACATGTTGAAGTTGAAAGATTTAAAATGTGAAAAGATGAAATTTTGTTTTTGACTGATTGATTCAAGAAAGCTGTCATTTATCAACACAGTTCTGCTTTGAAGTTTTTAAAATTCATTTAATTAAAGTAATGGAATCAATTGTGCCTTTTGTGAAGAAATCATTGGTGCCATTGGTTGATTTGAATATGTTCATTATGATTCCAATAAATTTAATTTATCATGCACTAAATGACATTAATTATCTTAGTCATTCATATAAATATTAATAAAAGCACCAATTGTAACATGACAAGATAGAAATAGTTCAGAACTCTAGATGACATTTTGACCAGTAGCACTCCCCAGTATTTCCTGAATCTGCTTCCTTAGCAATCAAAACTTTCTGTCTGTGACTAGGTCATGCAAGGTATAAGTACTATGTTTGTTTTATTAGACAACCAGAACTTCCACCTTCCCCAATCCACCCTTTTCCTCTGTCCCAACACTCCCCTCCCCACTCTCCCCTCCCCACTGCCCATTCTCCCCTCCACACTGCCCACTCTCCCCTCCACACTGCCCACTCTCCCCTCCACACTGCCCACTCTCCCCTCCACACTGCCCACTCACCCCTCCCCACTGCCCACTCTCCCCTCCACACTGCCCACTCTCCCCTCCACACTGCCCACTCTCCCCTCCACACTGCCCACTCTCCCCTCCCCACTGCCCACTCTCCCCTCCACACTGTCCACTCTCCACTCCACACTGGCCACTCTCCCCTCCACACTGCCCACTCTCCCCTCCACACTGGCCACTCTCCCCTCCACACTGCCCACTCTCCCCTCCACACTGCCCACTCTCCCCTCCACACTGCCCACTCCACCCTCCCCACTGCCCACTCTCCCCTCCACACTGCCCACTCTCCCCTCCACACTGCCCACTCTCCACTCCACACTGCCCACTCTCCCCTCCACACTGCCCACTCTCCCCTCCACACTGCCCACTCTCCCCTCCACACTGCCCACTCCGTCCTCCACACTGCCCACTCTCCCCTCCACACTGCCCACTCTCCCCTCCACACTGCCCACTCCACCCTCCACACTGCCCACTCTCCCCTCCACACTGCCCACTCCGTCCTCCACACTGCCCACTCTCCCCTCCACACTGCCCACTCTCCCCTCCACACTGCCCACTCTCCCCTCCACACTGCCCACTCTCCCCTCCACACTGCCCACTCCACCCTCCACACTGCCCACTCTCCCCTCCACACTGCCCACTCCACCCTCCACACTGCCCACTCTCCCCTCCACACTGCCCACTCCGTCCTCCACACTGCCCACTCTCCCCTCCACACTGCCCACTCTCCCCTCCACACTGCCCACTCTCCCCTCCACACTGCCCACTCTCCCCTCCACACTGCCCACTCCACCCTCCACACTGCCCACTCCGTCCTCCCCACTGCCCACTCTCCCCTCCACACTGCCCACTCTCCCCTCCACACTGCCCACTCTCCCCTCCACACTGCCCACTCCACCCTCCACACTGCCCACTCTCCCCTCCACACTGCCCACTCTCCCCTCCACACTGCCCACTCCACCCTCCACACTGCCCACTCTCCCCTCCACACTGCCCACTCCACCCTCCCCACTGCCCACTCTCCCCTCCACACTGCCCACTCTCCCCTCCACACTGCCCACTCTCCCCTCCACACTGCCCACTCTCCCCTCCACACTGCCCACTCTCCCCTCCACACTGCCCACTCTCCCCTCCACACTGCCCACTCCACCCTCCCCACTGCCCACTCTCCCCTCCACACTGCCCACTCCACCCTCCACACTGCCCACTCTCCCCTCCACACTGCCCACTCTCCCCTCCCCACTGCCCACTCTCCCCTCCACACTGCCCACTCTCCCCTCCACACTGCCCACTCCACCCTCCACACTGCCCACTCTCCCCTCCACACTGCCCACTCTCCCCTCCACACTGCCCACTCACCCCTCCACACTGCCCACTATCCCCTCCACACTGCCCACTCTCCCCTCCACACTGCCCACTCTCCCCTCCACACTGCCCACTCCACCCTCCCCACTGCCACTCTCCCCTCCACACTGCCCACTCTCCCCTCCACACTGCCCACTCTCCCCTCCACACTGCCCACTCACCCCTCCACACTGCCCACTCTCCCCTCCACACTGCCCACTCTCCCCTCCACACTGCCCACTCACCCCTCCACACTGCCCACTATCCCCTCCACACTGCCCACTCTCCCCTCCACACTGCCCACTCTCCCCTCCACACTGCCCACTCCACCCTCCACGCTGCCCACTCCACCCTCCCCACTCAACTCTCCCATTCTCCCCTCCCCAATCCCCATTCCATGATCCCCACTCAACTCAACACTCCTGTTCTCCCCTCCCCACTCAACTCTCCCGTTCTCCCCTCCCCACTCCCCATTCCATGATCCCCACTCAACTCAACACTCCCGTTCTCCCCTCAAAACCCTACCCTCCCCATCCCCCTCCTTCCTCACTCCACCCTTGCTTTTTTCCCTCCCCTCCCCCCACTCCACACTCAACTCTCCCGTTCTCCCCTCCCCACTCAACTCTCCCGTTCTCCCCTCCCCACTCCACACTCCCCTCAACACCCTACCCTCCCCATCCCCTCCTTCCTCACTCCACCCTTGCTTTCTCCCCCTGCCCACCCCCCACCCCACGCTCCCCTCAACACCCTACCCTCCCCATCTCCCTCCTTCCTCACTCCACCCTTGCTTTCTCCCCCTGCCCACCCCCCACCCCACACTCCCCTCAACGCCCTACCCTCCCCATCCCCCTCCTTCCTCACTCCACCCTTGCTTTCTCCCCTTTCTTCCTTATCCCACCCTCCAAAATTCCCCCCTGCACACATCACACACACAATCACACTCCACCCTCCCAATCCTCCTTTCCCCCTGACTCTGCCCTTCATTTCTTTATTGAGGTGAGCTACAGCACCTTTTATTTGGAGGCTGAAAATATAGAAAATATATCCCACAAATAGAAGCAGTAATCACTGTGATTGATGAAGCAAGGTTCCAGGGACTGTAATCAGCCCGCCTTTGTACAATGCTCATCACTGAAGTTCTACAAGATACAGTTTGCTTGCCTCCATGATGTCTTCCCCATCATCAGCTATAGCATCGCCGCAGAGCTTGCCTCCACGATGTCTTCCCCATCAGCTATATATATATATATGGACAAAAACAATCATTTCAAGTCTTAAGCAGATGTGAGTTGTTCAGAACCCACTGAAGTCAATGCTGGCGCTAAGGGGGAATGCTGTGAGGCAGTTATTTGATGGGATATTCTTGTCAAAATTAATAGTTACAGAATTGGTTTGAAATGAAGGTTATTTGCCTGGGGCACTGCCTTCACATCAGACCTTGAGAGGAAACAGAGTTAGTATCTGTTTACACAGTTTGCTGACTGCCCCTGTCAGCTACCATTAATATCAACACCAACCACAACAGTCAGTTTATGAAGGTAGAAAGTCCTGGTGACAGCATCAACTGTGTTAGTGGGACTTCCAGGCAGTGTGTTTGTGTGACTTCCAGGCAGTGTGTTTGTGGGACATCCAGGCAGTGTGTTTGTGGGACTTCCAGGCAGTGTGTTTGTGGGACTTCCAGGCAGTGTGTTTGTGGGACTTCCAGGCAGTGTGTTTGTGGGACTTCCAGGCAGTGTGTTTGTGGGACTTCCAGGCAGTGTGTTTGTGGGACTTCCAGGCAGTGTGTTTGTGGGACTTCCAGGCAGTGTGTTTGTGGGACTTCCAGGCAGTGTGTTAGTGTGACTTCCAGGCAGTGTGTTTGTGGGACTTCCAGGCAGTGTGTTTGTGGGACTTCCAGGCTGTGTGTTTGTGGGACTTCCAGGCAGTGTGTTTGTGGGACTTCCAGGCAGTGTGTTAGTGGGACTTCCAGGCAGTGTGTTTGTGGGACTTCCAGGCAGTGTGTTAGTGGGAGTTCCAGGCAGTGTGTTTGTGGGACTTCCAGGCAGTGTGTTAGTGGGAC